CCAGAAATCCTTCACCATTAGTCTCCTCCCACCTATGCCTGTCACAGGAGGCTCTGTGGAAATTACTCTGCTTTTCCTTTGCTTGTTTTAGAGTCAAAGAAACAGATGGCATCAAGTCAGCCTATTATGAGTTAATTTGGGGGCATGTAAGGTAAAGACAAGAGTAGTGCATAGATAGACTAACACTTCTAATAATTCCCCATTATGTAACTAATTTTCCCTCATCTTGTTTTCTCTATAGTATCAAGTAAAGTCACACACAAATAAAGGTTAATTACAGGCACAAACCTCTCAAGCAGAATAACTCCCTTGCCCAGTTCTGTTTCCTTCTGGTCTTACCAAGCCAGACAAAATTGCAGTCTAGGGCATGGAGCATGCTTATGATTATAATAAAGTTTTGACAATAAAGTTTATATAATAATAATAATAGAGTTTACTACAGCACTTTGTGATATGTATCAAAATGAGTGAGGTTTTACAAACAAAGTCTTTCTTCTGATCCTTTTCTCTGATGAGAAGTTCATTTAATTGTTGAAACAACTAGAAATGAGAACCATTGGGGAAAAAACAAGGATTACCCTATTGCATAAAAAACAAGAGTACTAAAATGAAGACTGGTGTCTTGGAGATGACATATGAAAAGACAGAACTAAATTGCCACTTGGAAACAGGAAAATTTAACTGTACTGACCTGTAAATGTCACAGATTTTCCAGGTAAGGCACTGCCACGTCAAGAAAGCTGAATGAGCTTCTTGCTGTCTCCAGACAAGCTTGTTGCAGGATATAAAAAGTGACATAACTTATTCAGAGTACCTGAATTTGAGTCATAACTCATATTAGCAGAACCATGCTCGGTCCACAGTTTTTTCACAAAGCTGTTACAATCCCTACATTCAAATAGGTTCTACTCATCAATAATAATAATATTTTTAAAAAAGAAAAACAAAGATTAGTTCTTCAGGTTCATTTTATTATCAATTGTGAATATAAACCTTTTATGAAAATATTCTTAACATTTCAAGATATAAGAATTGTCTACAAAAATATAATACTACATAACAAAGCCAGTAACTTCTACAAAACATATCATCCAACATATGTTCAACAATATAAAGGACATAATAAAAAACCTTTATTGAATGCTTAGGGTATCTTTACCGCATTTTTGTCAAACAATAGTTCACATAACGTATGAAATTACTTATTCTGAGATACAGAAGAATTATCATCAACAATTTACAGAACTGTGTGTATGTTCTGCCCCGAGGTTACCTGCATCTGCAGGAACATGAAGTCACAACATTCTTTTGAACAGGCAGTTACAGCCAGAAAAACATTCCCTTGGTAACTGCAATGTGCTGCTGAAGTCAGATACATGTCTGCTGCCAGCATTACCAATCCTGAACTCATCCATGAACAGAGATCATAGTTTTGTTACCCGCATGGGATTGATGCCAAGGGTGAGCCTACATATCTAGCAGAAAACTGGAAAACTGATTCTTCCTGGATGACTACTATCACTAAACGAAAGGAAGGAACTTTTAAGAAGTTGCCCCCTTCTAAAATCATCTCTCCTTCAACAGCCAGCCCCTGAACAAAACTCATTTAGGAAGAATAAATAAGGGGAAAGTACTAAATGATAAGTATTAAGATCCATCTTGTCATTATCAGTTACACAAAGATCTGTCTTAAAAACATCTTTTGGAATTGGGAAAGATCCCAGTTTAAGATTACAGAAAAAAAAAGATACAGCTTGAAGTTGTTATTTCACTAATACTTTTATGCTGAGGTCACTATTTTGGGTGTTAGCAGAAATGTAGGAAATCCATTTTAATTGCATAGACTGCCTTTGTCTACACAAAGAGCTCCTTGAATTCTTAGTACAGGTGCATTTGGAGAGCTTTCAGAGCCAATTTTGACAAGCAGCTTAACCTAAAAGGAATCACGCAGTGACAGCATATAGCTTTTGCAGCTTTACATAGAGGGTTCAGGTACATAAAACTTTAAGGCTACAAAGTCCTACTGAAGATACAACCCATGATTACAGTGTTTTGCATAGTAAAAAATAAAACCCAAAATCTGCTTAAATTGACACATCAATAATAATTAAATATTTTTACCCTGGATTTATGTGCAACACAACCAATAATTATTTATTACTCTATTCAAGGCATACTGAAATCAGTATGTCCAAAATTGAAGAGAAATATAACTAACTTTATAGCAATTGCTATGCAACAAAATTCCATATTAATATAATGGAAAAACGTAGAAAATGAAAGCACATTTATGAAAATTAAAAATATTATAACTATCGCTAGAGGACACTATAGGTGATGAACATTAAAAACATTTTTCTCACTCAAAAAATAACATTTGAGACCCTGAGAATTTACTGTTCTAACACACAAAGAAAGCTTTCAAAAATTTAAAAAAATCTAGAGGTAAAAAGTTCCAGAAGTATCACCTAGAAAAACCGAAGTTCAGACAGTTTCATTTCAGATTCTCAAAATGTAAACTCTAGGGGAAAAAGTACAACTATCCTACTGTGCATTGTAGCAAAGTCTTTTCAATTACTCTAAAATGGTATTTTGAATAACTATACTTCATATAATTTGGAGTGAAACCTCTTAAAGGCTTTTAAGGTAAAATATTTGCTTTTCACTTTTAAAGCATTTTAAATTTATTTTCTTTTCAAATGTTGACTGAGGTGTTTAAGAAAAAAATAAAGCTTAAATCTTACATTTGCAAAATAACCTGGAAAAGCAAATTGTGGAAGCCACACTTTATGAAGAGAACAAATGACTACAGAACCACTCATTAATTCCATTGTTGTCACACTGGTTAAACAATTCTCTGAAAGACATTTCAAATTCACAATCACGTTCCAAACAGTGTTCTACAACACAGAAACTTGTTTAAATAGTTACTTTAAGAAATTATTAAATTCCCCTGACAGCCCATCTCAGTAAGAGGCACTCACTCGGATCTATAGAACTGAATATGAGAACAAAGGGTTTGTTTCAAATGGATCCAAAGAAACTTCCTCACTTATTCTGCTCTTCTCTCTACAATTTCTGAGAAGGTTTAGAAATAGCAAAATTAAAAAAAAAAATAAATAAATAAAAGGAGATGACATCTTAGACAACCACCATATAGGTTTGGATCAAGCAATAAATAAATAAATAAATAATCAATCTAGATATTTTTAACCACATAATCAGATAAGCACTAGCAATGGCACAAGGGATGCATTGAGACCAGCTGATAAGCCAAATTGATATTAATTTGATCTGCTATCAACTGTACCTTTATGGAGTCAATTCAAGCACATTCATATTAAACATGGGCAGAAGTAGTAAATAATGCAAATATCCTTCCCTCTCCTGAAAGCTGTTGCTGAAAGATAAGAATGATTGTGCAGCAGAAGAAAACAGTCCCAGGGTCCAATACCAAGTATTAGCAGTAACGGCTGCCAAGCTGGAATCTCACTATTAACTGGGCTGCAGAGGCATGTGGGAGCAGTTTCAGACCATTCGTGACCATTTGGGGAGCCGTGGGACATCAGGTCCATAAACCAATACCCTGACATCACATACATTTAAATGTAGAATCTTGCATGAAAATAGCTCCTACCATACACCTGCATCCAGATATACCCCAAAGAACTAAAGGGGTTGCCGTCATTCAGGAATCAACTCCACTAGATGTGGCCTGCCAGGCTGCAATGCTTATTGGCAAAAGAAAAGTTTGTGCGACTGGACATGCCCAAATCAAAATAAGAAAAAAATGTATTTTCTAAGATCATTACAAGTAGTGTGTGAACTGCAGAGAATATAACATTCTCCTCCTTAAAGGAAACACTGGAGCAAGCATATATCAGTGAAAAGCACCTCATCATACAAAGTAAAGGGCCAAATCAAGATACAAGTTAAAGCATTCTTTAATAATTTTAAGCACTGTAAGCACTACTGAGAAAAGACCCAAAGGTATGGAAGGATCCACTTGAAAAAATCCCCTTACATGACACCGAAAGTATATTCCTCCACAAACATGAAGGAAACAGATCAACGGAAAGAATCAGTTTTTCCTTAATATTTGTTGCTATTGATAGACTGTTAAGATATAGTCTATCAAAACGAGAAACTGTGCAAGTAGCTAGCTGAAAATTTAGCAGAGGCAGCTGGAGAAGAAAGGCTGCAGCTGCCAACTGGCAATGTCGGGTGCAGGGTACCAGGCTCCGTGTCATCAGTACAGGCAGGCCTGACTCAGGCCTCCCATTCTTCGGTTTCACTACTGTGACGTTGACAAACTCACATTTTCTGTGAAAGTGTGATTAGCCTGTGCTCTCCAGTATGTTCTTAGGATGATTTACAATAAAGCATTTACCCAACTTTGGAAGGTAAGGAGAATTTAAACTTGGTCTCATAAAGAATCCTTTTGCAAAACAAAAAAAAACACCTGTCTTAAATAAAAATAAGTTTTTGCATAGACTAAAAGACTGCAGCTACAGCATAACATTCCATACCACAAGAAACAGCTAATTTAAAGTGGTATACAAATAACTACTGCCTCTCCTCATCAGGACTGCAATAACCAAAGAAATATTTACTGGAAACATTGCATTAAAGCAATGAGAGTTGGTTATTTCATTATGTCAGTACATCAAGTGACTTTTTTTTTGTTTTTTAAAACAAAGCTGGTAATATTTGCATTATATTCTCTTTTGACATTATTTGGAAAGATGAGACATCCTTTGTTCATTTAGAGGTCAAACAACAAAATAAGTCCTTATGCATTTGGAATCCATTTTGTGCAAAAAAAAAAGTTTATAAATGCGTGAGCTTTATCTTCCCTATGGAAGTTGGATGTTTATAGAGCTATAATTCTTTAGTGTAGTCTATTTTTTTGTACTGCAGTCCCCCCAGAAATCAAGCACTGAATAATAGCAAATTAGCATGTAAAATCTTGATTCCCACTTCTGAGGAGGCAGGATCTAAGAAGTGAAGAATCAGAAGGATTAAAAATTAAAAAGAAATAAAACTGTCTGTCACATAACTATCATCCACTTTAGACAGCAAGCAACTCCCAAAGATCTTCCTACTTCTAATACTTGCCTGTCTACACATAAGACAAAAACATATACCCAATCAGTTGCTTCTACAGCTTTGATTTTGTTTTAAAAAGTAATCAATTTTTACTGAGTATAACTGGATATTATGATTTGATAAAGGAAATCTTTAAAATAAATATTGTATTTATCAAGATAAGTTATGTTTCTGTGATGAAATAGTGTCTGAATTAGATTTCATTTTGCTTTGCTTTTTTTGAGCTTTGATGCCACTTACGAATGGCAGTTCCAGAACTACTGGCTATTACGCAGAGGGCACCACCTACAGTCCACCAAGTTGGTAGACGATTAAGAAAAAGAATCTGTAAAATAAAAGCAAAAACCACATCCATTGTTTTCATTATGGCAACAGGTCCAGCCTTCTCTTTCTGTAATGCTTTTGTGAGAAATATCTGACCCCCCAGCCCTAGAACACCTATTGATACTAGAAGAACTCTATCTTTACCACAATATGGTAAACTCCATTCATTCATAAGAAACAAGGTTACAGCACATCCAGCAAAACCAATTACTGAATAATACCAAATGGACAAAAAGTAATGCACAGATTTCCCCACCTTTCTCAGTATAACAAAAGTCAAAGATGTAGAAAATGCACTTGTAATTGCTGCTATAGTTCCTTTAAGACGATCTGTGTAATTGCCTTCAATCCCTGCAATTTTTGAACCAAAAAGAAATGGCGGTCTGGCAATAAGAATCACTCCAGCAACTGCGAAGAGGGTAAACAGAAGATCCCAAATACTGTATTTCTCTTTGAGAAAGATCCAAGCCAACAATGATGTGAAAACAGGACTGCTAAAAGTTAGAACAGTGGCATCAGCTAGGGGCATTGATTGGAAAGCATAGTAGAGAAGAACCATTGCACTAGAGCCAAAGAATCCTCGGAAGAAAAGAAAGATTCTTTTACCTTTTGGTCCCAAAAACCCTGTTCTGAAAATTAAGCAGAAAAAAAAAAGTTACTTTCATGCTTATTTTGTGATCAACATTCAATTACATTTATCTGTATGGACTTTCACAAAGAGAGAGTTCATTTCAAATGTCAAAGTATATGAAACTGCCTGATCACACAGACCTACTCATTCCCATAACCCACAATCACATTCAGGGTCATCTGGGTATTAAATTTGTTCTTGCAAAATAAGTGAAGCATATCTACAAATTACTTTTTATTTTTAAGAACAACACTTAATGGAAGATCAATACATCTGATATAATCCCCACTGGAACTTCCTCAATCCAGAGATAAAGATTTTCAGTTTGCTGAATCATACTGACAAATCTTCAACTAGTTTAAAGTAACAAAGGCTGCTCCAAAACAATTCAATTTATTCAATTAAAATTAAAAATGCAATGCGATTTAATTTCCGTTTTGAGTGCTAATTCTGGATCCTATTTTTATGAAATAACTCTTAATCCAAACATTTGCTACACTTACTTGTAGTATATTAAACCAGGAAGAACAAATGCCATTTGGAAAATGCACCGAAATGCACTCACTTCCACAGCGTGCATATCTTCGATTTTTTTTAGAAATAGAGAGGCCACTGAGAAAAGGAAGGCAGACAGTACGGTATAAAACAGACCAACTCCTGGACAGGAAGCCTTCTTCTTTGTTCCTGCAACACACGAAGAAAATCCCTTCAGTTAACACAGAGAAAGCTAGATACCAGGTATCTCAGATGGCTTTATATACTATATTTATTGACCAGATATACCTCGAGAATATGTTTCATTGACTGCTACAGTTGTTGTTTTTTCATTAAAGAAGAAATAAAAGTGAATACTTTTGATGCATAACTATCCCCACACTTCTCTTAGTTTTGCAACAGTTAGTAGGCTTTACTTTTTGGAGGCATCAGACTAGTTCGGGAGATTAATTCTGTCCACCACCCAAGGATCAATAAATACAATGACTGAAAAAAAAAATCCATGAAATGATTACAAAACACTGAAATTTATTTTCTGGAAATCATCTGATTATTTAGTAGACAATTAAGGTTCCTAAGCAACAATTTAGTTCCTCCTATCAGATCATAGCCACGCACATACACATAAACTTGAAAAAAAAAAAAAAAAAAAAAAAAAAAAAGCTGGTTATACTGGTTATACCTGCCAGGTTATATCTCTCAGGTCAAATTTGACCAAGAGCTATGCAAGTTCTACATAATATTTTTATCTTGTAAGAATTTAAATATCTTTTTCTAATGAGCATCAAAAACAATTTTATTTTCTGCTTAAAAATTTAAGTGCTTAGTTTTAATACATCATTTGCCCCCTGTAGGGTGCTGATATCCCTAAAAGGCCCATGAAGACCTAAGTTCCACCTTAGTTTACACTCCTCCTTTCTGAACAGACTCCTTTCTGAAGCCAGTTCCTAAGCCTGATGGCTTCTACTCAAGCTTGCACATGGCCTTCAGGCCTCCAGCACCCTTCTTCAGTGACACCTCGTCCTTATTCCACCCACCTTCTCCACCCTCAGTTATGAGGAAAAAAAAAAAAAAAGAGAAAAAAAGATCAGAGAGAGTGAATACCTGCTGACCTCCCCATCATCTCCAAAACAAGCAGTTTTTTTCAAAAACAACTTTGTTGCTGAAGAGAAACATAGTGAAAATAGAGGCGAGCACCATAGAAAAGGGAATCCATCTGAAGAGCAGAGCAGGCTATTATCCCATCATCCTTCTGCATGTATGTATGTATGTACATATACAATACCGGAGATTCTTCCTACTGTACCCTCTGAAGTGAGGAGTGAGAACTCCATCTTCCCAAAGCAGTCCGTTTCGATAAAAGATGCCTCATGTTATGCTGCGTGCGTGCCAATGAGCCTTACAGATCCTGTACAGCAGAATCCGTAGGGCACTGATGAGAGTTGCTTAGCAACTCAAGACAGTTTGGAGATTTTTTTTTTTTTTTTTTTTTTTTTTTTTTTTTTTTTTAACAAACCTTGTTGTAACCCATTTGATCCTCCCAGAGACCAGTATCCAAGGTTAAGAAACTGCTTTTTGCTATTTAAGAGCTGAGACTGTGGTTTGGTACCTTATATGCCACATTGGCTCTAGCTTCATTTGTTCTGAAGAACAGATTCTTCTGTTCTTCTCTACTGCAAAGAGAATTTAAAGTTTGCAGAAGGCAAAATACTCTCAGAATTACAACCATGCTACCTCTGAAAATGAATGGCAGTTTCTACTAGATAGAAATATTTCTATTTTGTATGTTGCCATACAAGTGGCAACAGCCACTTCTATATGACAAATGACTATTAAAATTGCCCCCAACCAGCATTGGTCCAGCAACCAGTCCTGCAAAAGAAATATTAAAGCAAGGGAAATCAGAGTGGCCTAAAAGTGCAATATGAAATCCAAACACAGGCTGACTTATGGGAGAATATTGTACAAACAGAACTAACAGAACTACTAACTTTTATTTCAGGCTTGATAGCTTCTCTGATTACTAGAGAAGGAAGAATAGAAGTGCTGAAATGGAAAAAAAAAATAAAGCAAATTAAAGCAAGCTAAACTAATGAGAGGTTACACCTAGAAACTTTTGATTTGAAGGAATAACAGAAGGAACTTACACTTTTGTAAGCTAATATACCAAGACTATCAGAAAAGGTATCTCATAACATTAGAATTTAATCCATCGACATCTCATATTGCCAAAGCACGTACTCAGTGCAATGAGAAAGCGTGGTACTTCCTTTTAAAAATAAAATGGGACAGGTTCTTCCATCAAAAACAAGTACAGTTCTCAAGAACACTTATTTAAAAGTACACTTTAAGAAGCTAGGTTAAGATAATATTCCCACCCACCGAACCATTAGGCCTCCAAAGTACAATGCAAGTGCTCTGTTCTGAAGAGCAGATTTGAGGAAAAAAGTATTTCAGCAACTTTTGGATATTATCTGGCCAACTCTATACATCAGGTATTCAAAGAACCTTACAATTCTTGCTCTAAGTCCTAGTTGAATACATTCTACTGCACACCCTTTTCTATGTGTAAATCCTCCTACATTGCATTTTAAAGTCACGTTCTCTTATGAGGAGCTTTTTATACTTGAAAAATAAGTATGTTGAGGGAAAACTAAACAAAACACACACTTCTCATGTTCATGAAACTTGAGAACAGCAGCAGAGGCAGCAGAGTACAGAAACAGGGCAGTACCGCCTCTGGGCATGGAGTTCACGCAGGCAATTGTGCCAAACCCCAAGAGGGCACCCAGGCAAAGGCTCTCTGTTCCTAACACCTTAAGGAGCGCCCGCGAGTGTGCACAGAGGCACCCCATGGTCACATGGAGAAGACGTGGGCATGAATCATACAGTGCAGCCACTGACTCAATTAACATTTAGCCAGGCAGACTACCACAAAGAAAAATAATTTTAAAAAAACAGATGTGAATAACTGTGACTTCCATAGGGTTTCAAATATTGTTTTCATCCAGTCTTTGACTCAGCAGTGCTTTTAATGCTCTTTACCACAGAAATGTCCACTTTTGGGTTTGTTACAGCTCACTAGTTTACCAAAGACTCATACTTTACTCACTCTCTGATGGAAAAAAAAAAAAAAAAGAAAAATTATATTCCATATTTACATAGTAAACACATTTTCACTAAGCCAACTTAGAAATTTGGCATTTCACAGGCTGCATCTACTAAAGCTCCATTAAGCTTATGAAAACACAGTGAAGCCCGTTTCTCCGTAAGTCAGTGGCCTTTGCAATTCCAAATAATGAACTGGCAAAGTAAAACACGCAGATGAAGAACTCGAGGGTGCCCTGGCACCCGAGGAGGAGAGAACTTGCTGGGGAGGCCCTGCTGGGAGCACAGTGAGCCCTGCTCCCCAACTCTGCCTGTTGCTCGTGGGGACAGCGCAGAGCGCCAGAGCCCCAGCTGCTACGCTGGGGCGCTTGGGTTTTTCCCACGGGTAACCTCTGCTTGGTAAACTTTAACACCACACAGCCCCGAGAGGGCGAAACTCCCCCGGCCCCGGGTGAAGAGGGAGCCGGAGAGGCGCCGCCCGGGGAAGCGGCCCGCAGCCCTCGGCGCTTCCCAGCGGCGCCGGGAGCGAGGGGGCAGCCTGGGAAGACCCGAGCGTCTCGGCCGGGGCTCACGCGGGGGCCCGGCTGCTCTGCCCGGCAAACGCAGGGCCCGCGGGTCTCCTGCCCGCTGCCAGGTGCGAGCCGCCCGCGGCCGCATCCTCCCTGCCGGCCTCCTGGCGCCCTCTGCGGCAGCCGCGCGCCCCCGGTGCCCGCCACGGCGAGCCCGGAGCGCGGCTGCCCTCGGGGCCGCTTCCTCTTCCTGCGCCCCGCCAGCAATGTGACCCCAGGCGGGGAGCGCCGGCCGGGAGGGCGCTGCTCCCCCTGTCCCGCCTGCCACACTCGCCCTCCTCACCGGGTGCTTCGCGGCAGCACGGCCAGGACAAGCCCGAGCAGCGGCCACAAACATGGGGCTCTTCAGCGCCCGCCGCCTCCACGGCGGGCTCCGGGCACAGCTGCGGCTGCCCGAGCCCCGCATCGTCCTTCCGGCTCAGCGGCACCTCCGGCTCCTTCTCGCCGGCAGCCGAGACGGCGGCGGCGGCAGCCTCGCCACCCCGACACAGCACCATGAGAGCAGCCGGCGTCGCGCACTGTTGCCGGCTCCGCGCAGCCGGCAGCACCTGCCCTCCTGCGCATGCGGTGCCACCGCCCCGCGCCGCCCCGGCTCCCGCCCCTCGCCCGCGGCTGGAGCTGCCCGCGGCCGGGGGCTCCCGCTGTCCCTCCCCGCTGCTGACACCTGCCCGGGAACCGGCGCAGGGCAGGACGTGCCGCGGAGCCGCCCTGTCAGGGCGCGCTGCCCGTGAGGGGCGCAGGGCGGGCGGCCGCCGCCTCCCCAGCGAGCCCAGGGTCGCCCCAGGTCACGGCGAGGAGGCAGCGAGGCTGGGACGCCTCGGGAGGGGGAGCTCGCATCCCGCCGGCCGGGCGGCTCCGGCGCCGCGGCGGGGGCCGTGGGTGGCCCTGCATGGCCCCGCCCCGCCCTGCAGGGTGGCCGTTGGGGGCGGCCGTTGCCGCCGTTGGCGGGGGGCTCGGCGGGATGACTGTTGGGGACGGCCATTGCCGCCGTTGGGCGGTGCTCGGCGGCCTCTGAGGAGGTGTCGGGTGGCGCCGCCCGCGGGTTTCCGCTCGCAGGAGCAGGCCGAGGCCGCTTGCCTGATGGGAGATCAAACTGTGGGGACGGGTGGCGCGCGGTTGTGTGAGGGGCGCTCCTGCCTCTTCCGAGTACGTGAAGTAAAAACGTGAAACAGCATCTGGACCGTGAGAGTGAAACCTCGAGATCGCCCGGCCTGGCATAAGCGGCTTTTGCACTGGTGTCTGACCGGGATAATTGAGCTTTTATTGAAGTTTTTTTTTAAATTCCCATGCTCTGTGTGTCACAGTGTGAAATCCTCCTAATCCAATCTCTACACCGATTTAAATAGCTCGGCTGTCTCCGCGATGGGCACATGAAAATTTAATTGCCGTGTCACAGAGCAGCAGCATCGTCTTCTGTACCTGGCAGCCGTGCTGCCTGCTGCCCCTCAGCTGCCTTCGCACACGTCAAAATGGGAGATCTGGTGGGCAGTTTACTCCTAGAAACGCAGGAAAATACCCCACGGGATTGTTAGTATATATATATATTGTTTATGTATATATAATGTATGTTTAAACTGCCTTTAGGCAAGGGAATCAGAAGACTAGGCAAAAGAAATGTGAAACTGCAGCTCCATCTCCTTATCCATCAAAGGGTGAAGAGAAAAGAAGCAGAATAAATTGTGAATGTTACGAATAATTAAAAGAGGGAGGAAATTCATTCAAATAGGAGACTTATGCTAATCTTTTAGCTGGATAAATTAACCAGTATTTATTTATTTAACAAGGAGAAATGAAATTACAACTTCAGCAAAAAACTGTACTAAATAGTAAATATAAGCTTTCACAAAAACTCTTTCAAGCTTTCCCTCAAGCTGCCTTATACCAGCTATTTCAAGCTTTCCTTGTCTCTGACTTACCACGTTTTATACTCTGTGCCAAACTATCTTGAGGCTCTTAAGTATTTTATTAGCCAGGAACTAGCAGCTGATTAATGTGACCAGAGTCCTTTCATAGATAACACTAACTGTAAAAGTTACATGTGTATTATTGCATCTGTTAATAAGACAAGAATAAGAAATGCAGTTTTAAAAGTTTTTTAAAGTCGATCTTAATTCTCTGTAATTGTTTATATTATCTAAACTCCATTTGCTATAAACCAAGAAAGTAAACCAAACAAATAAGAACAGAGCAAGTATTTTTTATTCATAGTACAGAGTTACAGTACAAAATACAATGAGTTCTTCTTTATGCAGCTTATTAAAATATATATTATGTAGTTATTTTACAATACTTCCACTACTGATCCCCAGATAATACTTGAAGTGCCACAATACTGTCCTGTCGAGAGAGATTGAAAGAGACTTTGTAGCCCTTCCCCCTGAGTCTGGCTTTGAACGGGAACATCTAAGGGCAGTGTTTATTTATGCCAAGATATATAAAGTGTTCTGTTTGCTCTTGGTCAAACTGCCAGTGAAACTGCCAGACTTGTCTCAGCTTGAAAGCTTCCAAGTTCTGTCTGCAAAGTACAACTCTTTTTTTCTCTGAATAAAGAGAACATTTCCAAAATGACAGAGCAGTTGCAGCTGCCCAAACCAACCAGTAGACAAATGTCATTTGTAGTCAGGTTGCACTGGATGGGAAAAATAAGTGGCTGCATAAATGTGACTTTTTTTTTTTTTCTAAAGTCCTTTTAAGTATAGATTAAACCTTGTTTATGTAATATGGTTTTGAAAACTAGTTGTCTTTTTTTCCCAGCACATAGTCAGCTTGGTCATGAAATTCTTAAAGTACCCCATTTAACTCTTTAAAGTAGATGCTAATGTATGTGCAGCACTGAGTTACCATCTTCAGCTGCTCAACTGCAACCAGCAGCACAAGATTAAGCTTCTCCTGCAGCATCCTTCCTATGTGCAAAGTCCACAAGATTCAGAAAACTTGCACAAATACTCTGACCAATTCAACTGCAGCTAGCAAGGGCTTATTTATCTAATTTTTTTTTTTCATAATATCATAAGCCCAGAGAGGGAGCCACTTTCTCCTCCTCAGAAAATCACTCTTCCTTCCACACAGAGAGTTTCCTCGGGTTCCTCTTTACATAGGAGGAAAATCCTCAATCTCAGCCAGAATTTAGACAGACATTTCATGTCATCATAAATCCCAAGAACAAGTTAGTGCTACATCTAAGGTTGAGATAGTAGTCCTGACAGGTACTTGGTCTGGACAATGTTCTCAATACAGTAATGAATCATCTGGGCTGGGTCCATGTGCCTCGTGAGTGATCTTGTGGTATTCAGTTCCCAGCTGCGTGCCTGCAAACACTGTCTCAGATTCCTCAGAGCACCTTTCAGAGATTCTAACAGGAAGAGGCACAAATGACAAAGCAATTACATGAGTTTCATGGAGAACCGTGGGAATTTCTTATGAGATTATGAGAACTTTATCCTCTATTACATTATTTCTTTTATCCAGCGCTGAGGTATCCTAATAAGCTTTTTGAAACACGATTGCCTCTTGGAGGTTTAGTGAGAACTGTAAGATGTGAACCCAGGAAGCGCTGGGGCTGAAGTAGCCCTCCTTTGCCTCACCTGGGGCAGTGCGGGCCCTGCCAAGCGCAGGAGGAGAAGATGGCAACTGCACCGGCAGCACTGGTGGAACGTGCATCCCATTTGATCTTAATGAAGCTGTGTCAGCAGCTACCTACTGTTGGAGAGCTAAAAATAGGGGGCAATTAAATCTAAACAGAAACTTGTATTGATGGTTTTTATTCTGTAAAGATGCTAGTACTGTAAAACCACTTTTAAGATCTTAATTTGGAATTTAAGTTGTCTGACAATAAATTCATTAAAACTAATATTGACCACTGCAAAGAAAGTAACACAATAAATAGTAACCTTACATTTGTTCCTTTCCTTCTGAAAAGGCTTAACAACAAAATAGATAAGAATTACTGTATCAGCTCCTGAAATGCATCCAACTCCTAAGTGCATGGTAATAACCGTTACCTCTGCACAGGAATGCTATAAAACAGATTATTATTGCAGAATCAAGGAAGTCCATTGCCCAGGTCATTCATTCAAACTTATGGTCAACCCAAAGTGATACGGCAATCACACAATAGCAGAGGTTGAAAGGTACCTGTGGAGTCTGTGTAGTCCAACACCCGTGCTTAGACCACGTGTTCATGCTGAATAGTCCCAGCACCCGCAGCCTCTCCTTGTATGAGAGAGAGTCTCATCCTTTAATCATTTTGTTGGCCCTTTGCTGGACTTGCTCCAGTATGTCCATGCCATTCTTGACTTGGGGGGCCCGGGACTGGTCCCAGCACTTCACATGTGTCTCATGACACATGTGAACAGAGGGGAGGATCGCCTCCCTAATCCTGCTAGTAACAATATTCCCAGTGCAGCCCAGGATACCACCAGCCTTCTTTGCCACAAGCCACCTTGCTATCTCATGTTCAACTTGTTGTCCACTAGGTCCTTCTCAGCTGCTTTCCATCCATTTGTCCCCCAGCATGTGTGGGGGATCCCACTAGTGTGTGGTGTTATTGCTTTGCAGGTGCAGGACTCTTGCTTTCCCCTTGTTGAAATTCATGAGAATCCTGTCAGCCCATTTCTGCAGCCTGATGAGGTCACTCTGAATGGCAGCACAACCATCTGGCATATCAATCCCCTTCCCAATTTTGTATCACCTTCAAACGTGCTGAGGTAGCACATATAAGTTATTAACGAAGATACTAAAACAGTATTGGACCCAGTATTGACCCCTGGATTACACCCCCACTGGCTGCTCTCCAACTGGCATTTGTGCAGCTGATCATTACCCTTTGAGTGCCGCAGCTCTGCTGGCTTTCAGTCCCTTTAGGCTTGCGTTCATCAATGACTAGTTAGTGTAGCTAGTTTACAGAAAATATAGTGACTGAATATTGAAAGGTGGGGGGGTCTGAATCTGAACAGAACCCAGGGGGCATTTGAGGATAGGAGGTTAAATATATTCCCAAAGAAATATCCTTTAAAAGCAAAAACAGCAGGAAGTTGATTTTGTTGTCGCTTGATTTTACGGCATCTTTGTTCCAGGGCTCTGCAATATGTCCTTGGTTCTTGACTATATACCTCATTTTACAGTATGCCAAGAGTCATCAAGAGATTGTCTTCTTCTTCTAGAGTTTCATGTGGCCTCTGGAGGCCGTCCTGATAATCCTCAAAACCATGAGACTGTTGAGCTTTGGAGACTGCTTGCAAGGTCCTTTTTCTTGTCTATGTCCTGTTTGGATTAAGAAAGTAAAAGTGCTTTGTCCTGAAAAACAACATATTTTTTGAGCTCTTTCCAGGAATAAGTGGATAATGTGGATCTTTCTTTACACAATCCTTTGGGAGAGGCCTTGGTTCTCAGTCTTCTCTTGCTTGGGCAGTGTAGCTGAGTTCAAGACATACCGAAGGTGCTCTTAAAGCTGCTGAGTGAATATAGATGAGGTGGTTCATCTTATTGTCCTCTCACT